GGAACGGAATGAAATTGGGAATGATTTGAAAAGAGGAAGTGGGACGGCAAGGGAGAGTCCCTCCTAAGCTTCCAATTTTTGTCCTCTCAAATCGAGGGCTCAAGGAGGGAATGATAGGCATTGTCCTTCCCTCCTTTATTAAACAACCAAATAATGCGGTGGCATATTATATTCCATTCAACTTGTCTTTCCATTCCATTTTATTACGAGCTTGTTTCTTCCATTACCTTTAAAACTACAAACATAGCATGGTTAATTTAAGGAAAAGAATCTATTATTTTTATATAAATAATGCTGCATCCCATATAAGATCCATGCACTATCAATCGGGTACAAGCGCATGGGATAGATCATAGATCTTAAGGATAATGTGTCTTTTAAACTAGAGAAATTCTTAGATATATTAGTGTCGAAGCTAACGTGAAATTGACTAAACAGAATAAATAAGGATTTAAAATAGTTTATAATATAATATTTATTTAATAAAAAAACAATCAAATAAATTAGAATTCACAACGTCTTTAAATAGGCAATAAAAGAGAAAATAACAACAATTACGAAATTATTCGTTCGGAAATAAATAATAATAATTAAAAAATTAATGGAAATGATTCTGAAAACTCAAAAATAACGGGACTCGTCTCAAAGCATGAGTCTTGATCCGAAAATCAAGGGTCGAATCAAATTTGAGATCATTCAGAAATGATTATCCCGGATGCATCGAATGGTTACAAACGCGTTTCTATATGCACAATTAATAAAAAAAATTTTCCTTTGAATAATTGATATGAAAAACTCTTTAGATTCTAATTAGTAAATAATTCACTCACGTTAGTCAAGAATACACACCAACGCACACATGCTACATACTCAGAGAAGGAGGAGTGAATGAGATTTGAGCTTTCATTACACTCACCTGAAAAGAAAAAAAGAATTACACATTTATTTATGAACATATACAATAATCTGACTTCCGCTATTAAAATTATTTTCTTAACATTCTCTATTGTGTGTCAGTATGTAAACATTTGCATTCCACTTATTAAAGAGGCGTTGATATGGTCCAATATAAAATAAATACAACAGTATCATTTTCTTAGATAATGAATCACTTTGAGATTTTATTTTTATTTTTGATGAAGTGCATACGAGAACTTAATTAAAGAAACTCTGTTTTCATGATGTCTAGGATTAACCCATATCAGAATATCATCTGTCTTGAACAAACTAATTGATGTCTGATGTTCATAAAAGGTGGAATACATAAGCCTTCAAGTCCAAAAGAAAATTGGATAGAGTGTAATACCACATCCTCTTTTATGTGGCTGTTAAATTTAGACTGATGAATGCTAAATATTTTATAGTTTTGCACCTGCTGGTTCATTGGCCATACACTCCATTGTGCTGGATCCGACTACAATTGAGATACAAAATGTAACATTCCGAGCGCTGACGAGGGCGAGAAGTGATCGCCGGTGCGAAAGGACATGGACAAGGAGCTACTCCTGACATGCTTCCAGTGGGGAGTTACATGCATGAATAAATCGAATCGACACCCGAAAAAGAGGAATTCCAGTGCAGGTATGAAACTGTATAGTTTGGGATAGCTTATAAGAATTGATTGGTAATACCTATACTAACAAGATGCATCTGCTTTTCGGTAGCCCGAAACGGAAGAACTCCATAGTTAAGCGTGCTTGACTTGGGGCAATTCTGGGATGGGTGACCTCCTGGAAGTTTTTCCGAGAAGTGTGCGGTTGAGGACAAAGCACGCTGAAAAGTCTCGTGTTAGTGTGTGAGAACGAGAACATTCAAGACTGGGATTGAACTTCAAGACCAAGTTTGGTACAAGACCAACTCCATCGTCACGGTTAGCGCTTTGTTCTGTTCTTTGTTTCTTGGGTGTCTCCTTTTTTCTTAACTCATGCCATATTTCTATGGGCCTACGATTATTGAGCCATGTACACTACATTGTAGATTACCGAAATATTGGCTGACAATTCATTACATTACTGTTTTCAGTTCAATCAAAAGCTCGATGTGAACTATATATTTTAATTTTAATAATGATTTTTAATTAAATGAGTTATTATAATAATTTTATAATTTCAATAAATATGTAAAATCATAATCAGAAAGGATCATAACAATGGCTACCACAACCCTTCATCTTGTTTCCTTAGCTACTATAAATTCATTCATGAGATGATCTGGGGGAAAAGAATTCCCACACCTGACTCAACTTCTTTAAATCAAAGTTTCAGTCATTAATGAAGCATAAAGAATAAAACGCATTAAAGTCATACTTGTCCAGATGGAAACAGAGGATAGACAATCAGAAATAGCAACACAGCTTCAAAGCATTAGTAACAGGCTAACAGCATCCCATTCAGTCCATTTTTCATCTGACAGAAGTTACCTGACTTTACCACTGCCGTTTTAAAATACTTCAACAGATTAGATCTTTGTCATCTGAGAAAAAAATGACAATTTAGAGCTTCATTTCATGACACATCCATACCACCATGTCAAAGTTTGCCAATAAATATGCTAGGAAGGAAATTCAGAGACTCTGAATTATGATTTGGTTTAATTATCTTGCAGAAAATCCAGTAGATGGATCAAACCCCCAAGCCAAGAAACTTGTTATAAGTGATGAATATTTTCAGAAAGTTACCAGGGCCCTTATCATGTATCTTAGACAGCACCAAGAGACTGTTATGCAAAAAGGTGGTCACTGAAAACCTTTACGGTTTTTTAATATCTGAACACTAAGAACGTTATGAGAATGTAAGAACATAATTATTGTGCTTTCAATATTTTTTTCATTCAATTGCCAAAACAAGGAAAAATTATCCACACTCCGTGTAAAACTATTGATCCTCTTTAATGTTCTTGTTGAAGAGAGGCTGGTGTAACCGCAGATTGTACACCATCTCCACTGCATTTCAACACCACAGAAGGCAATTCAAAGTAGGAGCTGATGGAGTCATCTTCATTATTTTCACGGGCTATTATGCCTTGTGTAACCCCTGAATTCAGTTCAAAGTTTACCAAAGAAAATGTACTAGACATTACAGGATTCACTGAATGATTCAATTGGGTACCTCCTTTTCTTGCTTTAACTGGCTTTGCTTTACCAAAGCATGGCAGATACATGCAAAGGGCACCACTGCATTTGAATCCACCCTTAGGAGAACCGTCTTTGATAATTGCTTCAGTTTTGGAGAAGCTTCCTTGATGCCTGTTATCATGTTCCAGTTCCATTGCATGCATTCTTCCTTGGCTACTTCACGTTCTTGTGGGTCAAGTTACTAATCATATTTGGTGATTCTAGTCTCTTGAGGCCATGAGCTAGCTGACTAGACTATTTATAGAAAAAAGAGGCTTAGAGTGGTGTTGTTTCTCTTTCTATCATCCGTTGAGATTACTCTTTACCTTAGTATCTGCATTTAGATTAATTAATATGCTTTTGGCTCTTAGAATCAGTTGACTTCTTATAAACAATAAATGTGGCCAGCATTGAGATTTGGATGCTTGAGACTTGAGAGGGATCAATGAAGGATCAGGAATCTCAGTATTTTCTGAATTATATATTGATTGATATTGATTGTGAGTAGTGGAATATATGATGTATGCACGACATTCTTAAATAAGTGTGAGAATAAATTACAAATTAAACAAAATTTGTAACGTGGGTGACATCAAAGAGAAGATACTCATATAGTAGGAAGCAGACAAATGAAAGAATCTAGGGTGCTAGCAAGATGTGAAACAAAGGCACAAAGAACTGCTCGAATTACGTTACTATTGGAGCAAACACCGGCTCTTTTTTCTAACAAGCTTTCTCAAATGATGCATTTAAATTGGTACACTCAAGGGTTTTGGACTTGATTAGTGCTATTGATGCCTCATCCGTCATTCGTTACCATTCCCTAATTGTGGTGCAACTTGCGTTTGTGGAACAACTTAACCACATCCTAAGTTTTTTTTTCTCTAAAAAAAGAGAAAAATAGAAGTTTATACAATCACTGAATTATTTGTACCCGGATTCAAACTCAGTGATTTTTCAATAACAAAAAAACAGCTTTACCACAGTTCTAAGCTCGCTCCCTCTTCGCAATATATTTGATACATTTAAAGAATATCAATGTTGTCTGATCATTGACTGGTTTCTCAGGCTTGTGAAAAATTACATAAGAATTCGACTACTTTCATGACTGAGATTTATTCTTATGACCAAATTTGAAATCAATATAGATTATAGTGGTTGGTTATCAACTGAACTAAATTCTGTCTTTTTCTCTAAAATTGTTGGAAAACAGAAAATAGCCAACAAAACTATGTTTTACCTTTAAATTCAATTTTTTTAGGGGGGGAAGTAGTTTTGACATTTTTTTTAAAGGATTATAGTGTGAATACAAAGTCAACCCGAGCCGGCAAAACGGGTTCGGCTCGGCGGGCCAACCCGCCCCGCCAGCTAAACGCGACGGGATGAACTGAGTTTTTTAACCCATTTCAAAAGCGGGGCAGGGTGAGGTGGGCTCATTTTTTAGCGGGTTGATGACGGGCATAGGCGAGCCGAGGCGAGTAAGTGTAAAATAGGTTCGGGCTGGCGGGCCAGCTCGCCTAACCCGCCAAACGGGCCGGGCTGGGCCGAGTTTTCCAGCCCACTTTCAAAAGCGGGATGAGGCGAGTTGACTCATTTTTTGACGGGTTGATGGAGGCATGGGATGGGACGGGTCGCCCACTTTGACACCTCTAAACTCGATCATTGACTTATGTATCATTGTAAATAAGTTGCTGTGCGTTTCCTAAACTGCAACTTTTCCCTTTCCTTTTTATTTGTACAAAGATATAAAATTTTGATTGATTTTATAGGTATTTTTCTCTTTTATGTGTATAAAAATGATCTACTCGAATAAAACAACTGCATAGAAGGGAAAAATAAAAGTAAGATAAAGGTAATGTCATTTAAGAAAAAACATTGTATAGTATACAAACTCATATTTACTTATAACCTATAGATTTACTTGTGGAAGGGTGACATCAAAATTTCTGCACAAATTCATAAACAATCCAATAACTCACAACATTGCAAACATTGGCCACATAGGAAGGTTTATAAAAAGGTAACAGAACCAGCTACAAATGAAGTTTTCTGATTATATATTGTTAATCTACATTCCATATTTCCATAGGTTTGATCTTCATCACTCTCATGCGCTTTGTGCTGCTAAGAAGGCATTAAAATCTTCTCTGGCTTTTCTCAAACGAGGACTGATGCAGGATGCTGGAGAGGCAGGGTAAGACACAGAAGATGATGTAGAAAACCGAACGTGGCGAGGTGATGCATCTGATTTCCTAGCACTGGCTCTAGAGGAACCATTTTTCAGAACCCCTTTAAGGTCTTTTTCAAAGACAAAAGATGCAGCAACAGGAGAACATACTTCACTGGCACTGCATTTTATCAATTCTATTGGAAGATCAAAGTAGGCATTACTGGAGTGTCCTTCACTTTCATGGAACATTGCTGCAGAAGCCCAAGAACCACATTCAAAATTTTCCAAAGACATTGTCCTAGAAATTACACCCTCCCTTTCTGATTGTTCCTTTCTTGTTTTAACTGTCTTTATTTTACCACCAAAGCCTGGCAGATACAAGCAAAGCCAAAGAGCACTGCATTTGAATCCACCATCTGGTGTTTTCATGTAGTTAACACTCTTTGGACTTTCTTTAACAGCTTCAGTTCTTGAGAAGCTTCCATGAACATAATGTCTTTTATCATGTTCCACTACACTTAGTTCAGCCAACCAGTGATCAAATTCATCCGAGGGTGCAATTGCTCTTCCTTCACCACATGACTTGCTCTTCTGTAAGTGGAATTCCTGTTGCAAATGCCGAAGCTTGTGTGTCAAGTTATTAGCTTGACATTGTGATTCCGGGCTCTCTCCTTTTGATTTCTTCTTGGAAAAAGCTGAAGCAAACCGAGGTGATGTGTTGGCTGAATTTGGGAGACTCAAGCTTAAGAAACTTGGTTTTGGAGGTTTTAGTGGTGGAGGGTGCAAAAAAGTGGCTGCAGAAGTTGTGATAACAGTTGGAATAGGAGAATCATGTAATGAAAGTGGATCAACCATAATCTGCTTTTCTTTTTGCAAGCTCTCCATGAGTGAAATCCTGTGTTCGTTCATCATTCTTATAGGGAAATCACCTTCTTTCATGCTTTTTGATAATAGGAATTTGTGTATCAGAAACTGGACACAAGACTTGTGGAACGCCAAAGGGTGTTGACTACTTATAAAGAAGAGGCATAGAATGTAAAGAATGTGTAGCATGCCAGCATGACCATCCACTTCTTAATCGTGATGACCATTTTCTCTGTCTAGTATAGTTAATTATATATTTTTTCCCCTTAGGTACTGAAAATATAAATGATGATAATAATGGTCAATTGCCCCTTTTATTCTAAAATATGTAGCACATGCACGACTTGATAAATTATCAGAGGATGTTACAAGTTGAAGTTTAAACGTGCTGGCATCAATCAAAAAAAAGTTATATGTCAAAGCATATTAAGGAATCTAGGGAAAATTATAATGAATAATTGATGTCAACATACATTTAAAAAATACAAAGTAGACTATAACAAACATACTGCTCAAAACTACAAATGGCAGAAAACATCAGCTTTTCTTTCATGAGCATCTAAAGGAAAGTTTTCTTCTCTCCGCCGGCGTGACTGTCTCCATGGTTTCTGGTTTGTGATTTATCTGGGGTTATGTATTTTCTTTTACCTTTTTGTTCATTAATAACGCTGTTTTTGGGGGTTATTGATGAACATATTTAGATCCCAATTTTTGGAGTCCAATTTTTTATATTAGTTTGTGGCGTTTGGGGAATTTATTATTTAACTATAGCATGGTCTGTTTGTTTTATGGGGGGGGAAATGCAGTGTTAATGCTATCCGGTATATCCACCGTATGGTTACAACTCACAAGCATATGCCAAAATGCAGAAACAGTGAAGAAAAAGAGAATCATGAAATGTCAGGTTTACAAGTTAATGCAATATAATTACACAGAAAATAGCAAACTCTATACACGTTATTAACATCAACTAGAAATACCAGCTTGACTCTCTATCTGTAAAACTCAAACAAAGAAAAATAATAATTGTCCCACCTTAATATCTATCCCAAGGCCAAAACCTCAAAATGATATTACAAGTACAAAAACTGTTGGTGTCAATATTCATATGTATAATAACTTTCTACATATCAAAATATCACAGAATCAGCACTAACCCAAATCCAATAATGCTTCTTGACAGAGAGAGCCTTGTCTGCAACATTCTTCTCGTCAAAATCGCCGTACTCATCGACCTCGTACGTGCAAAAATCACCATCGGGCAAGCCCTCAACAGTGGCATTCAAGGTATGCAAAACGTAGCAACCGGGCAAACCCGGATACGAATCCGAATTGCGCTCCTCCACCCTCATCTCATACGATTTCGGATCAATGGTCACGATGTCACTCACCTCAAAACCGGACTCGGGCTCCGACCCGACACCACCAACGACGGAGCCAAGCTCTTCCCTGATGGCCCTCACGGCGGCGGATTCCGGGTCCTCATTGGGCTTCATCTTCTCCGACAAGGGCCTACCACGCTGCCTCACGTTACCGTCCGAAAGCTCCTGGTGCGACTCCACGAGGAATTTTCCGTCTTTGCGAGTGACCTTGACGGTGACGACCTGAACGGTTCGAACCGGAGGGGTTGAATCGGCGAGGGAGGTTTCGCCTTGGGCGAGTTCGAGCCAGAGGTTGTGGACGTTCTTGGTGCCGGGCTTGACGCCCCACGAGGCGAAAGAATCGGAGGGTAAACGGGGTTTGAGCCATTCAGAGAGGGACTGTGGTGATGCGAAGTTGTGGCGGTTGTTGTTCTTGTTGATGTTGGAGGAGGAAGATGATGCGGAGAGGGACATGGCGGGGATTTTGAGGAATCGGTTAGGGTTGAGAGGGAAAGAAAGAAAAGGGCACCTTGTGGTTGTGAGGTAGGACTTTGAGGATGTGAAGAGGAAACAAACGGAGAGTGCTGTGAGGAAGAGATCCGGTAAGGAGGGGAAGTTGAGGCTGAGTGACTGTCCTAGGAGGTTGGAAAGTGGTTGCTGCGGCGGAGGCGGGGACATTTCAACCGCGGTGGTGGTTGTTTTCAGGGTTCAAGTTGTAGTTTTGATGATGTGGCACAATTGGGGTGGTGGTGTTGGTGGTGGTTAGGTCAATGGTGGTGATTAAGTCCATGGTGGAAAAGAGAAGAAGGGAGTGAGGGTCGGGTCGGATCGAGTCGGGTCAAAAAAACTGAGTGGTTTTATGGAAAAAGAATAAGAGGTGGGGGATGGATATGTAAATTGTGTTGGATGAGATCTGCAGAGATATTCTCGTTCTGGTTTATATGTATTCTTTCCTTCTTTTCAATTTTCATTTACTTGTTCTGTTCTTTTCTTGGTTTTGGTTCTTCTCTTTCTTCGTTACGTGGCTTCTCTCTGTTTCATTCACTGTGCTGCATCTACGTGGTTATGATTTTGATCCCACTTTTTGCTTTAGTTGGACTGAAGTTGTTGTGGTCAGCAATGTTCACAGGCCCAAATAATACATTCTTTTTAATTTTTGGGTAATACTCACCACCTGATCATCTACCAATTTATTAACCTAGGTTAACATGAATGATTTCTCAATCAACATTTCACATGTCACAATACATATCTCTTTACTATTTTGATTATAATTTATGGGTTTAATAAAATAAAAAAAATCGACCACACTCACAGATACAGAAATATTTTTCCATAATTAATATAGTTTATAACGTTTACGTGCTGTCCCCTTCTATTTCGATCATGATCCACATTATTAATAACGAAGAATTAATTTAATCAATAAGTGGCTGAAATATCTCTGCTTTCAGCAAATCTTTGTGATCTCCACTGGGAACCCTGAAAGCTAAATGGGTAGTGTTCCCATCCATCTGTTTTTAAATTCGTGTCGTGTTCAGATTAGTAAAAATTGACCCAAAAAATTTATGCTATATAACATATCAAACTGTGAATCCGAATGGAACCGCATTAATTTTCTTATAAGTTATTAGTGTCGTGTGATGTTTGGGGTTGACGGGTGCCAACCAGCATTATAAACAATACATTATTTTGTAGATTACTCTTGTCATATCATGTCAACCCGCAAAATAAGCGGATCTATTTGTGTCACGGATCTATTCGTATCGTGTGACACAAATCGCCACCCATGTCATGTTCTCAAAATTTGCACTTGACCTTGCCTCACCGGACGCTATAGAACTGGTTGTTTTTCAAGTTATCCTCTAGTCAAAAACTTCAGTTGTCCAAGTTCAGGAGCAAATATGTAGTGCTCCCGGATCAATGCACCGCCGGAAAGAGAGAGGTGACCCAGGGAATTATTTTCCCAAGCTCAGGTTCCAACACAAGAATATGGTATTCTTTTGTTTTTTTGGAAAATAATTATTTCTTTTCCTAATGTCTTGGCTGATTATAATCTTATTATTGGGCGGTAACAAATCATCATTTAACAAGTAACACATCATATTGTATCGATGTATTTCCATGGCATCTGTGTCTTCATTTTATAGCACATTACGAGTAAAAATTCACCCTTGAGACTGCCTTTCGTCCAACACTCCAAATTGTGAATGGTTGGATCTTAAATCTGCTACATCTTTTGCAAAGGATTGATGTTAAAAATTATTAATTTGCATTTAAGAATGATATTTTAAAAATGAGTTTAGAAGAAATTAATTGGTGTATAAGTTCAAATTTATATAAATCAAATAAACATCTTTGATGAAAAAAGAAAATTCTTTGTCTCTCATAGATTTTATGCATATAATATATTACTAATATCTATTTATTACTTGCTTTAACCAGGCATTTCCTAAACGCCTTGTACAAAGACAAGCTTCATTCGCGCGCTTATTCTTCTTGGATCATATATGACCTCAAACGCCCTTGTCTTCCTTTTTACTATCTAGACTCTAGATTAGATTGCATTATTTATTTGTTTGTTTGCTTCTACTTGAAAATCGATTATATTGCTAAGGAATCTACCAAGCTTTCAGGTGAGATGTTGCATGTCTTCCAAAAATGTATGTTCTAACAAAAGTCTCTCAAGGATAAAGCAAGTTTGGAACAAGTGGGTCAATAGATGATTCTGACAAGGAGGGATACTTTATAGTATTTAACTCCCATGTATTTTACCTTAATTTAAGGTTATCACAACTCGAAGAAAATGAGTATCAACATTAGAATTAGGTAGCCAATGCAGTTACTTTGCCCCGTACCAGAATCTCAGGATGAACAATTATATTCCAGAATATTGCCTACCAGGAATTCAGAGATTTATAACCTTGACGTGGAGGACACAGAGACCTTCAGCAATTTTTTAAATACATAAACATCCTTTAAGATCTATTTCTATAAAGCAAACTACTCTTTAGTCATACATGTTGAGGTCGCATCAAGCAAAGTGTTTATGAGCTTCCTAACCAATACAAAGATATCTGTGGAAAAGGAACGAATAAGCTCAAGTAAGTAGGGCATTCATGAATACGTTTATAAGTTTGCATCTATATAAAATGATAAATGCATTAGGTAAGCCAACATATACATGAGTACAAACCACATATCCAATACTAAAATTGATCACAGCAAAACTTTAAATTAATTAGAGTCATAAGCTTCACAACTAAGAGATCTGCCACTTATGAATAGCAGAGACATTTGCCAAAACAGACATGAGACGTAGTTGAAAAGTGTACTCATCAATGCACAGTTTGATCCACGGAGTATAGTTACTTCCAATGCCACACCCTCAAATATATTAATCAAACACCAATAGTCAGTATTTTCAAGCATTGGGAAATAGAACAATGACAGAAAGTAGTCCTCATTCATCAGATTTACGTTTTCATGTATGGCATTATGAGCATTGTCAAAATAGCTGAAAACAAAACAAAACACTTAATACACATTTCAAATATTAACACAGCAAGTCAATTTGAAGCGGGTGTTAAACTGCAGGTAAAAAGCTACTTAAACCACCAAGAATTGAGTTTAGCCTTCGTGATGGGAAGTTCCAATTCCAAGGCTATGTGACTGACTCATGCGAACCACACCACTTACAGATAACAATCATAATATCAAACTATAAATGATGAAGACCAGGGCAAGTGGCTTAAAGAACACAGAAAACATTAAATCAGAAAATCAATGCTGAAGACAGAGGGGAGGGGGGAAGAAGAGCATACCGTAGCAAGTATGTAAGAAAACACAGAACTGTTATATATGTTAAGTGATGCCCAACGAATCAATAATTCAAAAGGGCAACAAATTACAAAATAGAACTGGAATTTGTCGATAAAATTGCTTTGGACAAAAGGCTGAGTTAATTTTAAAAAAAAATTAAATACCAAACCCAGCAAACTTGTTTCATTATAAATGCAAGACAGCACACTGAAAAGCAATACCAAATGGACCTCAACAAGGGGCATATTCTTAATAAGACAACAAGTTTTTCGGTGTGGTAAGAGCTGATCTTCGATTTGCACTTAGTAAGTTCCAAAAATCGATGTTTGTTTGTACTAGCCCAGGAATGTCATATTCTCATACTTCAGAATTGAGATTAATACTAAAGATAAAAGACCATGCTTCCTCAAGTAAATGCCTACACAAATAGCAAGGATGCTCCCAAGTCCCAATAAAGGGATCATAAAAGTTTCGTAAATAAGTATGAGCTAGATTACCACTCATCTTGCATACAAATTGACTATTTCAAAAAGTAATGGCGGCGACAATGCAGATGGTCAAAACTACTGATCCACACATGACACATACCAGGGTGTTTAATAACAACCATATTACAATACACTTTGAGGTTTGAAAATTTAACTTCTATCATCTAGATCGGCAGCAATTACAACATTAAATTGGCCAATTCCATCTTCAAAAACAAACAAATGCAAACTTCAATTTTGCTACGAGTAAAACATCAAGGTAAACTAGTTTCATTAAGTTATTATATCTCACCTCAAACTCAAACCTTCAAAAGCTGCATCTTGTTAGCAAAAGCAATAGCAATCCAATCAGGCTGAGCCAGAGACCACTGCAACTGGTTAATTTCAAAACCAGCAGAATACATGGACAAGGGTTCAATCCCAGTTGGAGCAGCCACCGTTGGCAACTCCCAAATAAGAGCCTGTGTATCATCCCCAGCAGAACAAATATGCCTTGAACTATGAGGAGCCCAAGCAATTGCATTCACACAACCACGATGCCTCTCCAATTCCGCCACCGGAGTGGTGGGTGACCTAATATCCAAAATCACAACTTTACCACTATCCATCAAAATAGTAGCCATGTACCTCAAGTCCCGCTTGTTCCAAGCCAAACGAAGCAAAGGGGTATCAGGTTGTGGACTCTCATAGATAATGGTGGAATGCTCCTTGTCCCTCAGATCGAAGATCCTAACAGACCCATCAGCGGAAACCGACGCAAAAACCCTTGCTTCACCCCAAGCTATGTCGAAAACCTCCTTATCATGTGCAATAAGCTGCGTTTCAACGACACCCTTTTCAATGTCCCAGATGGTGCACGTGGTGTCAATGCTTGATGTTCCGATTCTTTTCGGTTCGATGTCGTTCCAGTCGAAGGAGGTCAATGGGGCGCAGAACTCGCTGCTCTTGCTGTTGTTGAAGAGGGAAATGGCCTCGACGGAGTTTTCGCGAACCTCCCAGAGACGGAGGTAGTCGCCGGAGGTGGCGAGGAGGTCGGCGGAGGTTTTCCGGAGGGAAGAATGTGCGGCGGGGTGGAACATGAGCTTCGTCGGTGGGTAAGGGTGGTCGAAGGAGAGAGAAGGTTGAGCTCCGATGGAAAGTGTGTCGGGGTTGAAGGAGAGGATATCGACGCGGTTTGTGTATTCCTCAATGAAGCTTCCAACGGCGAGGCGTTGTGGGTGAGAGTGAGAGTGAGGGGTTGGAGAGAAGGCCATGGCGTATACAGGGTAAGGGGACTCATAGGTTACGCAGTTTTCGGATCGGAGATGGGATTCTTGGGGGGAATTGTCCATTTTCTCGGGAAAGTGACGGAAAATTGGAGTAAGGAATTAACTTGCGCGGTTAGATAAAGTTAATTATTATTATTATTATATGGGATGGGAGGTGGTGTTGTACTTCGTTTTGTAACTGCCGTTAAGTAGCGTCCTCCTGCGGAGAAGGTGCAGAAGAGAAAACTGAAAAGTTAGGTGGCAGTTGAGGTGACGTAGTCAACGGAGAAGACTGAAGGAAAATAATAAAGATTATTCAACGCCTTCGCTTGTCGTTCGTTGGTTTAGAAAAAATTTCCATGCTTGTGGATGCATTTGTGGCACACAACAATTGACGAGAAATTTACATTTCAAACACATTAATAAGATTTTTGGGGGAAAAAAAACAATCACATGGGCCAAGGCCTTAAAGAAATAGATGAAATCAGGCCTAGTTTTGTTAGGCCCAAATCGTTTTGAATATTGGGTATGACCCTCGTGGTGCCATTTGAAAGTACAATATAAAGGGAAGGACTTTGCATGTGCATAGTCCAAATGCCAAGCAAACAAAGTGTGCAATTTAGAGCGCACATGAGCCCAGAACGATGAAATTAGGAGTGGGCCAAACTGATAGGTCCATAGTATGGAAGGATGCTATAAATATGCTCCCCAATTGGATTTGCTGCCACGACATCGGAACGATGAAACAGCAACGAATGAGAATGAATGTTCTAGTTAGAGAAAAAAAAAACAAAAATTAGATAAAAACTTTGGTAATTTATTTTAAAATCAAGTAAACGAGTAATTTGATAAAAAATAAAACACATATCATATTATTATAACTGAAAAATACATCAAAAATTCATGTATTCATAGAACTAAATAATTTGTTTCCACTTAAAAGATAGTAGATTCGATCGTGAGAATCATAACTCTTAAAAAGAGCAGAGAATAAAACCCCATACCGGTTGATATGTACCAAGAAGAAAAGGAGGGCAATTGGTATTTAGACATGTGACATGTATGTGTAATATTGTGTCGGTGGTGGCAGATAATTAATTGATAGAAAATGTTCATTCAGACACTGCCTTGTCTGCAATTATCTCGTGTGCGGAATTTTGTAATGTCCTTCGTGACCATCGTAATTCTATCGTTCAAAAATTGATACTTGTATTAAATTTTTTATGGAAAAAGTGTGTATAATTTTGAAGGATGTAAAGTTGTGTCATTTTAAGAGAGAGAAAGAGATAGATAAAGGAGGAGAGAGAGTTGACAAAAAAAATAAAGTTGTGGGTCCTACCTCTTTGTGAGAGTGAAAGGATGTAAGTTGTGTAATTTAAAAGTATAGACATTTTTCCCATTTTTTATTATTATTTTTGTGTATTCTCTCTCCTCAACTTTTTCTCTATTTTCTCATCTCAGTTCCATCAAAATTATTTTAATCCGAAACCACCTTAACTTCGCTCCTCGTGTGCGCAGGAAGAAATTTAGTTTTATAGTTAGTTACTATTGTAATTATTTTTAGTTAGTTTGATTGTACTTACTTAGTTAATCTTTATTTAATGTCTCATCACATACAGTAATATATTTATGTAATTTTACCTTTTCCTAATCAATACAGAAGTTTAGACTTTTCCACGCTCTTTTCCCCTTTTCTCTCCATGAGTAGGGTGTAATATTTAGGAAACTATCGTATTATAGAAAAATAATTGCATAGTCTCTTTTTCTCTTTTCCTTTATTTTCTCTTTCTTCTATTTTTTCTTCTTTCTCTCTACCCAGCTCACATGAGTCGAGATCACTCAATATTTGCTCCGTGTTATGAAATATCATTGTTATTATCTGCTGGATTGGAGTAATGCAAAATGAATCAAGTATCGTACGTTATATCCCAAAAGATTTTTTTTTTTTTTTTTGATAACAATATCCCACAAGAAATTTACTTGTATCCATTTGCATCTAAAATTAGAGAGTAAAGAAAAATTAAATGTAAAAATGAAAGTGTGTTAAACATGCTTTCGGTGTGTATGCACGTCTACTATCTTTTTTTAGAAGGATTTAAAATCTTAAATTTGAACTCATTCCGAATTGAATTAATCGCAAAACGATAAGCTAACTGAAATATTTTTTAAAAAAAAGTCTATGCGCATTTTAACTTTTTTTTGTTAGTCTTTTATCATGTTTGAGTTTGGTTTAGCTTGAGTTTAGTTAATTAGCTTAAGTATAAATTAATTAAATTAATTTACTATGTGAGAGATTTAAGTCATTAACTACTAATTGATAACCTTTTCTTCAATATGCTCATCTGCATAAGCCACGTCAATGCCCTTCGCACACGCAACTTTTCTCTCAATAGAATTTCACTTTTCTCATCTCTCACTTCATCTCAAATCTCTCTATCTTGTTCCTGAACATAAATAATGTTTTTGGCACAAAAGGGCGAAGTTAATCAAGTAGGTAAGGGTTGACTGACTTCACTTCATCCAGCATTGCTGTCCTGTGATAATGAGAGAGTGATGATCGTTTCATACTCCTTCGGATAATATTGTATTTTTTTGGAGTTACCCAACCCTAATTATTTCTTTGAGACGAGTTAGCTCTCTCCGGTATCCCCACAAGCTTCGACTCTTTGAGCCGACTATGGGACTAATCCGGAGTGCGGGAGAACAATGATGGCTAAAGGTTCAGCCCCCTCCCCAATAATGTATTCACCGGGAATCGAAATATGTAACTTTTGTGGTATATAACTTATAAGTTAACAAATAATAAAAATATGTAACTTTTGTGGTATATAACTTATAATTTTTACGAATTTGTAATTCTACTGTTTAATATGTAATTTTTATTATTCAGTTTATAACGTTTAACATAAGATGTGTATTTTTTCAATAAGATAATTTTATATTTATGTTTTAAAGAAAATACCGAATACTCACCTTAAAGTGTTTTAAATTTAAAACTTTGGTGTACAGTTACAAAAAGAATTTTATAACATGATAGCCATCTAATCAAACATTTAAGTTCCTCGTCAGCGATGATAATTGTCATACATGGAAAATTAGATCAAGCAGTTTAGTTAAATGGGAATTAATTTTTTCATCTATTATTTAATACGATCATATCATAATTGAGAATTTTAATTATTAATAGACAAAACAATAATGATGATTTTATGATTTTTCATGTCAATATTTTTTCATTCTCAACTTTTATCATCATTTATTCATAAATAATTAAGATGTACTTCCATCACATGCATTGTTGTTAAAATTTTAATTTATCACTACGATTTTATGTTTTTACAATTTTTCTTCATCAAAACGATTTTACTAATATTCCAAACGCTTTTACGTTTTTACAATTTTTTTACATTACGATTTTATATTTTACGATTTTTTAATTTTCATCTTATTTTACTTAAGATCTCGATTTTAACAATATTGATCACGTGTTAAGATATTTCCGAAAATGGCACATGATGAACACGGTTAAAATACAGCTGAGCTGGAAATGGCACACGAGGAACACAGTTAAAAGACTAACATTATTTTAAAAAATTAATAAAATACTAACATTGAATGAGGACTTATTGCATCAATAATTAATTTAATATATATAGGATTTAATGTTTCTATAATGAATATAGATAAGTTATCTGCATTCACTTCCAAAACAACGTTGTTTTGAGCTGAAAGGTTAAAAAATTATATAAAAATTACTATTATAATCCTGAAATAAATTATAATTACAAAAAATTCTTGATTTTCATCTCAAAACGTCGTTGTTTTGGACTCAATATAAATAACTTATCCACATTGACAGCAAAAAAAATGAACACACACCACACACACACATATATATATATGACTCATTTATTTATATTTATTTTATTTGTTTTTAATGTTATAAAAATCCAATTATTTTTAATTCTAGCGATGAAATTTGTACTATGAAGTATGAACATTTAACCTCCAAGGGTAGCTCAGTTGGCAACTGAGCTTCCAAGGGTTTGCTTGAGTCAGGGGTTGAAACCCTGCCTCAAACGAATTCTTGGAAAATCTATAAAGGTCAGAGAACGTCTCTTTCTCCTCGAATGGAAAATTAGTCTCATCCTTTCTCCGGTAGTGAAACTCAATGTTCCCGCTGTTTCAATGAGGGACTAGCTTACAGGACCGTACCCCGAGAGAAAGGTGACCAGAGGAGATTCAACGAGGACATCTCTAAGTTATACTAAAAAAAGAAGTATGAACATTTACTCTAAACACTTGGGAAGCACTTCTTCGAAGCTAGTTACTGGTGCTAGCCAGTCAACAGCTTGTGAGGGGGAACAAGCTAACCAAATGGGCAGAGGAGCAAGGTCGAAATAGCATTGAATATTAATATTTCTTAAGGGGCTCAATCCGAGAATACACCCCATAATTATACAGCTCCCTTAGTACTTGATTTTCATTTTTTTTAGTTGATATTAATTTCTCTTTAGTTACCATTACATTAATTCACGAATATCTGTGCGGCGTTAAAAAGTATACTGTTTACCCATGTTGCGTGGCTTGGAGTGTGACAATTTAATTAATAAAGAAAGACTCAGTTTTCAGCGAAAAAAGAAGACTTAAAGTGAGCATTTATAAGGTCAGGATTACCCAAAGAAATAAAATAAAATGCCGTAAGCATATTCTATCGGATTTCAACAAAAATATGGTTATAATAAAACTATATATCGTAGTAGTGCCAAAAAGAATGACAGTTTTAATGTTATATTCGTTTTGAAATGAACATTTACTCGAATAAGGTGTAAGGAGCCGATAGAATTGCTGAAATGTCAAGACTATTGATTGGTACGTACTTGGCCCACAGCTGATTTTCAGTGCTAGTTTGTGCCATTTGTTTGTACTTTAAAAAAAAAAGTAATTTTTATCTCTTTCTTATTTTAGAAGTCTTTTTTACAAAAGTTAAAGCTATTTTTAGTTTTATAAAAATATTTAGATTTTGAAAAAAATATTTGGCTTTTGACTTCTGCTTTTTTTAGAAGTTAAAATTTTTAACTTCAGAAAAAAGTAAGTTTTTGACTTTTTTTATGACTTCTGCTTTTTTTAAAAGCAGACATCCAAACGAA